CTGCCTGATGCTGGGGGGCAGGTTGAAGGGAGGTGGCCTGCCTGATGTTGGAGGTCAGGTTGTTCCAGAGTTTGGGCCCCATGACTGAAAAAGCCCGATCTCCTCTGAGCTTCTTGTTTTTGGAACAGCCTAAAGCAGCTGATCGGATGATCTCAGGGCCCGAGAGGGAACGTAAGGTTCCAGAACCTCAGAGAGGTGAAGGGGTGCGAGGCCATTTAGGCATTTGAAGGTCAACAGAAGAATTTTAAAGACTATCCTCGTACGAACAGGGAGCCAGTGAAGGGAGGAAGGAACTGGAGTAATATGTTCAGACCTACGAGTTCTGGTTAAAAGCCGAGTCCCTGTGATGGACTTGCGACCTGTCCAGGGTGTACCCCGCCCCTCGCACAATGATTGCCGTACATGGGCTCCGGCGATCCCCGTGACCCACAATGGAAGAAGCGGGTAAAAGACAATGGATGGATGGATGGTGTTTCAAGTTACCATGGTGACATAATTAGCAAAAAAACATGCCATTTTTCTCATTGGAAAATACTGACATAATTACCAGCTTCTAACTGCCACATGGAGGTCACAAGACCTAGAATGAAGAGGCCTCTGAACAAACTGATTAACATTTGGAACCTTTTGGTTCAAGATGGCTGCCACAGCTACCTGAGAAAACTCAAAATTGACTATATCTCAGTCATTCATTGAGACAGTGAGCTGAAATTTGGTATGGTTGTAGTTGAGAGCAAGTGTTTATATATTCCTAATGCAAATTAAAACTCCAAGATGGCTGCCTTATCTAAAATCGAGAAAAACAAAAAAACAATAACAGCTATTTTAAAAGATATTGAGATGAAATGTGGTGTGGCGGTACCTGACAGCAATGCACAACACATTCTGAATTCAAATAAAATATGCAAGATGGCCACCAAATCTAATTTTAAATGGATATAACTCAGAGGTATTTAGCTGAAATGTGGTGTGGTGGTAACTGACAACAGTCCCTAATAGACTGATTGCAAATCAACAATCCAAGATGTCTGTCTGAGCTTAAAAGGAAAACATGACTATAAATCAGCCATTTTTACAGATATTAAGTTGAAACTTGGTGTGGTTATTGTTGAAAGCGAATCCCAACACAAGGTACTGTCAAATCAAACATTTTAAATGGCAGCATGGCAGTCAGTCCCCATCAAAGTTTCTCAAGGAACTTTTTAGTTGTTTTCCTCTCGTTCTTATATTTTTTTCCTTGAGGATGATGTTTTTTAGAAGAAGTAATAAAGCTTTGCATAGAACCAGTTGTTAGATTTCTCAACTGTTCTTTATGACTGCAGTTAGCTGTTGTGTTCAGTGCATACATATTTTGTAATGGTATAGCTTCCTCTGCTATAGTTCTAAACTTATGAGAAAGAAAGTTAGTTCAGTTCACACAATTTCCACATTTGTATGTTAAAATAACATTTTTTTTCCATACACATATGGACTAAACTAAAGATGTGATTTCAAAGTGTGACTGTTATTGTGTTTTATACAGAAATTTGATTTTTAGGGCTAAAAGTTTGAAAACTATAAGCACATTATAGATTTTCTGTCTAAAGTGCATAACATTGTTAATAGATTTGAAGAACTTAAAAAGATTTCAGAATAATTAAAGTATGGACTGCTAAAAACCATAGCCATTAAAATAAAATTATTTGTGCTTTCAGGGTGCAACAATAAAGAAGAATGAGGAGACAGGAGATATATACATAGCTCGGGTGATCTGTGGAGGACTGGCTGACCGCAGCGGTGAGAGAAAACTGCAGCCCCATCTGCCTGTGCTGTTTCCAATGACAAGTTTTATACAGTGTTACCAATTCCACCAAAAAAGAATGTCCTGTTTGTAAGCAGTTACTACATTACATCATCACATATATAGACATAAAAGACACATGGTTTGGCCCTTATATTGTCCGTCACGGCGTACAACCATAACGTCACTACCATTCAAAATTGAGCAGCTCTTTGAAATGAACGGATCTTCAACATCATTGAGCCAAATATCCTATCTCTGCTATTAATAACCTTTCTTCTGTGGGGTGGCTGTGGCTCAGTGGTTAGAGCAGTTGTCCTCCAATGCAAGAGTTGGGGGTTCGAATCCACCAGCAGTCACATGTCAAAGTGTCCCTGGGCAAGACAATGAACCCCTCATTGCCTCTGATGTGTGTCCCAATGGTGTATGAAAGTGATAAAGCTCTGATTAGTCTTTGTAGAGATCTAGTATAGAGCTGTATGATGGGTAAATGAGGACACAGATTGTGTTGTAAAGCGCTTTTAGCATCTTGATGAGATAGAAAGGTGCTATATAAGTGCAGTCCATTTACCATTCTGTCAATTTATTTTTTTTAAATAATGTCCTAATTTCAACCCTCTGTCACAGTTAGTGTGGGCTTGGACTCAGATTTAGGCAGACACAAAGAGGTTTGGGCAAGGGTGTCAGAAGCATCCATAATGTGGGGGAGACATAATGATGTGTGGAGGTGTGTGCACGCGCATGCGTGTGCGTGCTAAAAAAAGTGTACACTAGTGTACAAAAAAAGAGCAAAATTTCACTTAGATTTCCTTTAATTCCACACATTGAGGTTGTTTTCACAGCTGATAGTCCGGTAGACTCGGTTCGGTTCGGGACCAATATTCATGAGCTTTTGTTACATTTGAGCTGGTGCGTTTGCATTCACACTGCACTGTGCAGTCGAGTCAACCTGTTGAACCAACCTGTTCCCCCGCTCACCTGTGGGGGTGCTGCACCAAGAACTACTGAAAGAAACAACACAAAAACCTCTGAAGACACTTCTTCTTCTTCTGGAAATAAAAACAAAAACGGAGTGTTTAGAATGGATAAGGTTGACTGATGAAGGAAGTCGTGACTTCCAACATTTTTCAGTCAGGTCATCTGGACTGTTTCTTTTTTTTTGTGCTGAAACGTTTCGCCTTTGGTCCGGAAGGCTTCATCAGTCAAGGAAATAAGCATGGACTTTGTTTAAAAAAGTCAAATCTGGTCCTCTGGACATTCAAAAAAACAAAACAAAGCAAATCAACAAAAAAATGTAGAAACGTTTCGTCTCTCATCCAAGAGACTTCCTTCTTCTGCTCTGTGATGTGGATAAATACATCAAGTTCACACGAGAAGATGTAAAAAATGGCAGGTTGGCTTTCTTGGACTGTGAGGTCTCAGTCTCTGATAGAGGACATTTGCAAACTGAGGTGTACCGCAAACCCACCCACACAGACCAGTATTTGCAGTTTGACTCCCATCACCCTTTGGAGCACAAGTTAGGAGTCATCAGGACTCTGTATCACAGAGCAGACAGCATCCCCACTAGCTCGGGAGCCAGGCAGAAGGAGAAATCCCACACAAGACAGGCTCTAGAGCAATGTGGATATCCTAACTGGGCCTTCCTGAAAGCAGAGAAGAAACCCAAACAGGACCCCAGTCAGCCAACAGGTGAAAAGGAGGAACCCAGACCCAGACCAGTGGTCATTCCATATGATGAGTATCAGAGAAACTGAGACATTTATTTTCTAAACATAACGTCCCAGTGGCTTTTAAACCCCAAAATACATTACGGCAAAAACTGGTTCATCCCAAAGATCCAGTCCCCTGGCACAAACAGAGCAATGTTGTGTATGCTGTTCAGTGTCAGGAGGGTGATCAGTCTTACATCGGGGAAACTAAACAGCCACTGGCCAAAAGGATGGACCAGCACAGAAGATCAACATCATCAGGCCAGGACTCTGAGGTCTACACTCATCTCCAGGCCAGCGGTCACTCTTTCAGGGATGAAGATGTTCACATCCTGGACAGAGAGGAACGATGGTTTGAGAGAGGAGTAAAGGAGGCCATCTTTGTGAAAAGAAATTGTCCATCATTAAACAGGGGTGGAGCCTCCGGGTTCAACTGTCCCCCTCTTACAATGCTGTGATTGCTAGTATCACTCAGCCCTCTGTGAATAGTAAACAGCCATCAGTGTGCTAATGATCCATTGTTAGGCTGATGGTCCTTCTTGAGCATGTGATCAGCTGGTTTTGGTTGATTCACTCTGACAAGGTGCTATTTAAGAGACTGAGCTGAATACAGCACCTCAGACTGAGGAAGTCTCTCGGATGAGAGACGAAACGTTTCTACATTTTTTTGTTGATTTGCTTTGTTTTGTGTTTTTGAATGTCCAGAGGACCAGATTTAACTTTTTTAGATTTTTCTACCTGGATTATTGAGCATGCATCAGGACATGGACTTTGTTGTTTTCAACCAGTTTGACAAGATTGTCAACAAGGAAGAGGGCCGGCAATGGAGGAGGGGGCGTACCAAAGAGACCATCTAATCACAAGCAGAACTGGTTTGTTCCACTTTGGAGTAAGCTGTTGGAGGAAGAATCAGTTTTGTTGTGTGTTTCCTTGACTGATGAAGCCTTCTGGATCGAAGGCGAAACGTTTCAGCACAAAAAAAAGAAACTGTCCAGATGACCTGAATGAAAAATGTTGGATTTTATACCTGGATTATTGAACATGGACTTTGTTAAAGTTGAGACTTGTTTGTCTTCCTTAGTTTTGGCGGCGTGCAATAATTTAAAACAATTTACTGATATCAGCTGAATGGTTAAAAATTTGAAATTGAAAACAACAAAATAAGAAAATGTAGATAAAGAAATAAAGAATCTTTGGGTGTTTGGAAGTTGATGTCGAGGGAACACTCAGGACGCTATCGGGAAATCCCACGAACTGGTGAAGGAACTCTGGATAAAGACTACGGCAGGTAGGCACAGCTGTGCTGTGAATGGGCCAGAGAGGGAAAGTAGTGTAGGTAATGAGAGTGAGGTGCGTAGTTATAATTCATGTAGTGAAAGGATGAGTCCAAAAAGAGGAAATTCTTCGGTGGTGGCAGATGCAGTAAAGAAGGGAAGGGCAGTGACAAACTGGGATGAGTCTGAAGTAGAACTGGAGAGGGAGGTAAAGGAGTTCAAAGTCATTGTTAGAGTCAATGAGGAGAAGAGACTTCAATTAATCAACCTAGTTAAGCTATCCACCATTCTGAAGAATCAAGTGGGAGACATTACTACAGCAAAAATTCTGAGAGATGGAAACTTGTTGATTATTTGCAACACAGAAGAACAAAAAGACAGAGCATGTAGGCTGAGAGAGGTGGGAAAGTGTAAAGTGACAAGTGTGAGCCTTGTACAAGAAGGGAATAGGTGGAAGAAAGGAGTGATTTGGGGGATCCTGGTTGAAGTCTCAGTTGAGGAAATAAAATCCAATGTTAGAGGGGGGAGAGTTAAAGATGTGAGAAGGCTCCAAAGTTTTAAAAATGGAGAGAAAAGGAACAGTGAAAGCATTTTGCTAGAATTTGATGAGGAAACACTTTCCAGGAAAAGTCTATTTAGGTTTATGGCCTACAGTGTGAGAGAATATGTCCCACGTCCACTTAGGTGTTATAATTGCCAAAGATTTGGCCATACAGCTCAGACATGTAAAGGAAAGAGAAGGTGTGCACGGTGTGGAGAAGATCACGAATATGAAAAGTGCAATAAGAGCAGACAACCAAAATGCTGCAGTTGTGGTGGAAGTCACAGTGTGAGATGACCTCAGTGCTCAGGCCAATCAAGAAGCAGCATGGGTAGGATAACAAAAGTATTATGGTCTTGATTCTTCACTGGAATGCAAGAAGTTTAATATCAAATGGACAGGAATTAAAACACTTTATTGATACATTAGAAGAGGATCCTGAAATTATCTGTGTACAAGAAACCTGGTTAAAACCCCAATTAGATTTCAAATTATACTACTGTTAGATCTGATCAGGTAGAAGGTAATGGTGGTGGTTGTGCCACTTTTATTAGAGAAAACCTGCCTTTTAGAGAGGTAAAGAAAGGAAACGAAGATGAATTTATTGTAGTGGAGATATGGATAAATGCAGAACCATTTATTAT